CATACATACATACATACATACATACATACATACATACATACATACATACATACATACATACATATGCTATTCACCATGCTTCACAGCCCTCTCTAAGCAGTTTGAAGAGTCAGCCTCCTGCCCCCAACAATCTGGCTCATCATTTTACCGACCTCGGGCGGACGGAAGGCTGAGTCGACCTTCAGACGATCAGGATCGAACTGCCAAATTGCAGGTAGCCGGCAGAGAGCAGAAGTAGCCTGCAGTACTGCACTCTAACCACTTGCGCCACCGCGGCTCTTAAAACATGAAGTCTTTTAAAAAGGCAGGAAAGAGATATTCTCAACTAGGGTTCTCCACAATCCCCTTTTCTGGACCCCCTGCCTCTGCCCCGCCCCACCTCCCCCCAATTAGCCGCTCTTACTGGAAGGGCTGGAGGTGGTGTGGCCGGTACTGAGCGAGAGGACGCTGAAATGCAGCTCGGCTCCCGGCTGATCGCTGCCGGTGACGCCGAAGCAGACTTGAGGGTATTCCTCTGACTCCACGACCAGCAGCTCAAAAAGGGAGAGGGGGTCGGGGAGCAGCACGGGGACGTGCTGGAGAGACAGAAAAATAAAAATAAAAATAAATAGAGAGAGAGAGAAAATATGGTGAGCCGGCAAGCAGAATCTGTCTGGGATCTAGAACCCAAAACCAGAGAGGTCCCTGAGCGTTTGCAGCCGCTCCCTTACCTTCAGTAGCATAAATTTCTGCAGGGGTTCGTACCACTGTAGGAGAGCCAGGCTGGAGGGCAGGGCGGCACACAGAAAGGTGTTTCCTGAGTAAGGATTTCGGACTGGAATGGGGGGGAAAACCCAGACAATGGGATTAGCCACCAACTGCTGGTCTCCACTTTTTGCTCCTAGATAGGTGGACTTCAACTCCCAGAATTCTGCATGGCAAATTCTGAGAGATGGCCCTTCCTCCCTCCCTCCTTTTTTCCTTCCTTCCTTCTTATCCTTTTTCTTTCCTTTTTTCCTCCCTCCCTCCCCTTTTCCTCCCTCCCTCCCTCTTTTTCCTTCCTTCCTCCCTCTTTTTCCTTCCGTCCTTCCTCCCCTCTTTCTTTCTTTCTTTCTTTCTTTCTTTCTTTCTTTCTTCCACTCTACTTTCTTTTTTCCTTCCTTCCTTCTTCCCCTTTTTCTTTCCTTTCTTCCTCCCTTCCCTTTTCCTTCCTCCCTTCCTGCTTTTCCTTCCTCCCTCCCTTTTCCTTCCTTCCTCCCTCCCCTTTTTCTTTCCTTCCTTCCTCCTTTTTTCCTTCCTCCCTCTTTTTCCTTTTGTCCTTCCTCCCATTTCTTTCCTTCCTTCCACTCTCTTTCCTTCCTCCCTCTTTTTCCTTCTGTCCTTCCTCCTCTTTTCCTTTTCTTCCTTCCACCCTTTCCATCCTCCCTCTTTTTCCTTCTGTCCTTCCTCCACTATTTCTTTTCTTCCTTCCTTCGATCCTCTTTTCCTTCCTCCCTTTTTCCTTCTGTCCTTCCTCCCCTTTTCCTTTTCTTCCTTCCTTCCACCTCTTCATCTCTCCTTCCCCTCTTTCTTTCTTTCTCTTTCTTTCTTCCTTTCTTCCACCCTCTTCTCTTTTTTCCTTCCTTCCCTCCCTTCCTTTCACCTCCCTCCCTCCCCTTCTCCTTCTTTCCTCCCTCCCTCCTTTTTCTTTCTTTCTTTCCTTCTTTCTTCCCTTCCCCTTTCTCTATTTTCCTTCCTTCCCTCTCTCCCGCTCACCTTCCTCCCCTTTTTCTTTCCTTCCTTCCTTTCCTTCCTCTGCAGGCCTTAGTATTCAAAAATTAAGAACTGCTGAATTCCAATCCTTGCAGTGCAGGAAAAACACCTGCATTTTTATTTTATTTTTGCATACAAAAGAGATACACTTTGGCATAAACATATCACGGGCCTGTTCTCAAAGATAAATAAGGTTCAAGTCCTCAGGGTTTTGAATGAAAAGGGTAATTTAAACAGGCACTAAAGAACCTGCTATATTCCAAGTCACGTCTAAACCTTGGCCGCCTTAAGACACGTGGACCTCAACTCCCAGAATTCCTCAGGCAGCCATCTTGGCTGGGGGAATTCTGGCAGTCGTAGTTCACACTTCCCAGAATTCTCAGCAATGGCCCTGATGGCTGGGGAATTCTGGAAGTTGAAAGTGGGGGAAAGGTCCATTAAGGATTCAGAGGCAAATTCAAGAAAGGTGGAAAATCTGCTGATGAAGGAAGATAAATGGCCACTCACCAACTTGACATTTAAGGCACCCTTTGGTATCTGCTATCTTGGCTGACAGAGCGAACTTCCTGCCATGAAAGGAAAATGGATTAAAATGTATACCAGTATGTATGTATGTATGTATGTATGTATGTATGTATGTATGTATGTATATATATATATATATTTAAAGTCACAACCCCTGGTATGCCCAAGTGTGGGAGGAAGGTCACACTTCCACTCTCTGTCATTAGGCTCGTCACAAGAGTCCATCCANTCTTCCTCCTCCTCCACTCCACAAACCCCACTCCCTTCTAGCACTGATGATGTCACCTAGTTGGGTGGTGAAACGCCTGCAAGAAAACGACCAAGGCTCAGAAAGTACCAAAGATCCCAATTTCAACCCTCAGCTACCAGTCTTCCTTACGTACCAATGGTTTCGATGGGGAAATTGAAAACAAGCTCGGGTGCAAACACTCCTTGCGGTGTCCCGCGCAGATTCACGACCCGGACGCAACCTGGGGGTGGGGTGGGGGGGAAAAGAGGAGGGCTTTGAAGGGCAAAGACACAGGCTGGGCTGGCATATGGTCTCTTGCCTTGAGTAGGGGGGGGGGCTGGACTAGAAGGCCTCCGAGGTCCCCTCCCGCCCTAGGATCCCAAGTTCTAAAAAAAAAACCTTACGTTCAAAACAAACAAGGACGGTATCTCGGTCCATCTGAGTGACGTGGCTGGCCAGGACGAGAGGACGTTCTGTGAGAGGAGAGAGAAGCCAATGTTGAGCCACAGAACTTTCTATAACATAAATTTAAAAAAAGCTGGTGTTTAAATTGCTTTCGGGATGAATCAACGGGAATTCTGGGAGTTGAAGTACACACGTAGGGAGAGGGGTGATCTTCAAGGTGAGAATCGAACGGCTGGCAGTGGGCAGAGTTAACCTGCAATACTGCCTTCTAACCCCTGGGAGGGAAAGAAGGAAGGGAGAAAGGGGAGATAGCAAGGAAGGAGGCAAAGAAGGAACAGGTGATAGCAAGGAAGGAAGGAGAGATAGGTTGGAAGGAAGGAAAGAAGGAAGGAGCGATAGCAAGGGAGGAAGGGAGGAAGGAAGGAGATATAGCAAGGAAGGAAAGAAGGAAGAGATAGCAAGGGAGGGAGGAAGGAAGGAAGGAATGATAGCAAGGAAGGAGGGATAGGCTGGAAGAAAGGAAAAAAGGAAGGAGCGATGGCAAGGAAGGGAGGAGGAAGGAGAGATAGCAAGGAAGGAAAGAGGGAAGAGACAGCAAGGAAGGGAGGGAGGGAAGAAGGAATGACAGCAAGGAAGGAAGATAACAATAGCATATATATATACATATATATATTATTTTTGTGTATGTGTGTATATATATATTGTGTGTATGTATGTGTATGTATGTATGTAATGTATGTGTGTGTGTATGTATGTATGTAATGTGTGTATGTATGTATGTATGTATNCTGACTCATATTTATGACGGTTGCAGTGTCTTGGAGTCATTTGATCCCCATTTGCAAGCTTCTGACAAGCAAAGTCAATGAGGAAGGAAGATTCACTTAAAAATTGCAATGATTCACTTAACAACTGTGACAAGAAAAGTCATAAAATGGGGCAAAACTCATTTAACAAATATCTCACTTAGCAACGCAAATTTTGGGCTCAATTATGGTCGTAAGTGGAGGACTCCCTGTATAGATAAAAGGTTTGAAGAATAGAGCCAAAGAGGACAAGGAAAGGTTAAAATTCAAAGAGGCAGAAAGATTTTGGCAAACATGTTTAAAAATTTTTGGAAGTGCATGCAAGAGTTAAATAAGGAGCCCTTATTTAAATAAAAGCAATGAAATGATTTGGAATGAAACTGAAATTGAGGAAATGATGAAAGATTCATTTAAGGGATTTGTACAGGAAGGATAGTGATATGCCAAAGAATAGAATTGTAACAAATGCAATAAATGTTAGTGTCCAAGAAAAAGAAGTCACAAATGCAGCAAGAATATTGAAAAATGGTAAGACTACCGTGTACATGATTTACCTGGAGAAATCCTAACATGTGGCTATATAACAAGTTTAATGTGTGTGCAAAAACTGCATCTGGGCCTTATGATCGGGAAAATACATTTCCTATTCCTCTCTTCAAAGGGAATGGTGGTGAGAATGAATGCAAAAATTACAAACCCATTTGTTTGTTAAAAGTGCCTGCAAAGAGATCTGGCAGAATTCTGACTGAAGCTGTATCAATGAGCAAAACTGAGAAGGGCAGTATGGCTCAATAATATTTCTGTTATTCAGAATTGTGTGAATACCACAAGAAAGTTAACTGTGCTTTGGTTGACTTAGAAAAAATGTATGATAAACTGTTTTGAACGTTCAGGGGCTTAAAGGGTGGTTGTTGAATGCATTAGAGTGGTATGTGATGGAAGTAAACAGGGATATAAATGAAACACTTAGCAAATAGTTTGACACTGAGTGAGATCTGCCCCATTTTATGACCTTTCTTGCCACAATTGTTAAGTGAATCACCGCAGCGGTTAAATTAGTAATGTTTATTACATGAATTTGACTTTGCCATTGACTTTGCTTATCAGAAGATCGCAAAAGGTGATCACATGACCCTAGGACACTGCAAACGTCATAAATATGAGCCAGTGGACAAACATCTGGATTTTGATCACGTGCCCACGGGGATTCTGCAACTGTCATAAAGGTGAACAATGGACATAAGTCACTTTTTAGTGCCGTTGTAACTTTGAATGGTCACTAAACAAACTGTTGTAAGTGGAGGACTACCTAAAATCCAAGCAAAGGGACATGTTCTCCTTTCTGACAAGTATTAATAATGAATTCTTCTCACAATCTCTGCTTGTGTGGTGACATGATAGTGCACTAGGGGTGTCAGAAAAACGATTCCTCAAGTCTCAGTAAGTCTTTAGTTATCCTATTCTTTAAATCTGGGGGAGCCAATTTTTGGTGGCCATTGGTACCTTTGAAATTCTAAGACCATTTCTTGGATACATTTGCAAAATATCATAGAAGCCATTGTCTCTTTCATACCTACAAGCCTCTAAGGATGATTTTCATTTCCATTGGTTCCTAGGCACTACTGGAAATAAAGGATAATAGAAACTGGTCATTTGCTTTACAGAATGCCTGCTCCTTATTTGTTTGTTCAACCAATGTTTAAAATATATTGCATATTGTTTAATGGTGTGTGGGAAAGACCTTGCAGGATGGATGGAAGAACCTCAGCATAGACATCTATCAGGCAAAAGATATTTCAATCCAAAGAAGGAGAAGGGTTGTGGGAAGCATCTCAGAAGGGACCCTCTATTGTTTTCTGAAAAGTAAAGGAGTGGATCAGTGGTGAGTTTCGGATCCCATTCCAACCGGTACAGTGGAACGGGCCCGGCGGCGTCCACATGGACGTGCGCTGCACGCGCATGAGTCTTAGTGCCTCCACATGCCTCCGTGATGCTCAGCCGAGCATCGCGCAAGCACTGTACGCACCATGCGCAAAAGCAGAAGCACCAAAGACTTGAAAGACTGGTAAGGAGCTTGGGCGGGTGGGTGGGCCCTCCGGAGCACCGGAACAGAACAGTATCCAGTGCTCCGGGTAGACTTTAGTACACCCATACTGGGGTGTACCGCCTGCAACCCACCACTGGAGTGGATGAATACTTTTAGACTTGCAAGATTCCATTACTTATCCTTGCAATAATATTAGTAGGGTTTGTGCTTCTTATCTGAACTACTTTGAATGACTGGCATACAGGTAGTCCTTGACTTACAACAGTTCATTTAACGACAATGGCACTGAAAAAGTGACTTATGACTGTTTTCGCTCTTATAATTCTTGCAGCCATCCCCATGGTCATGTGATCAAAATTCAGATGCTTGGCAACTGACTCATATTTATGATGGTTGCAGTGTGCCAGGATCATGTGATCACATTTTGTGAACTTCTGACAAGCAAAGTCAATGGGGAAGCCAGATTCATTTACAACCATGTTACTAACTTAACAACTGCAGTGATTCACTTAATTGTGGCAAGAAAGGTTGTAAAATGGGGCAATACTCATTTAACAAATTTCTTACTTAGCAATATAAATTTTGGGTTCAATTGTGGTCATAAGTTGAGGACCACCTGTATAGTGGTCCTAAAGGGCGCTCAGGGAGGAATCTGGTGGGGCGGGGGTGCGGTAACCATACTGCCCATCACTTCTTTAAACACAATGCTTTATATATATAGCAACTTTGAAATATATTCTTTCTTATCTTCCTTCTCATGATTTTTATGTGGGTCTTTGTGAAGCTGGTTGTGATGCACCTTTCTATTTACCACATGATAACAACCCTCACACATCCTTTCAAAACATTAGCACAACTGTTTTTTGGGATGCTGGAAACAATAATGAGAAGGCTGTATGGTTGTGTAAATAAGCCTTTGCTTAGTTTAGGGCAGCTATGGCGAACCTATGGCACACATGCCACAGGTGGCACGCGGAGCTATTTGTCAGGGCACGCGAGGCGCTGCCCTGTCAGCTGGCCAGCACGCATGTGTGGGCTGGCCAGCTGAGTTCACCCTTTTTTAAAGCCCCCAGGCTCCAGAGGCTTTATAGGAGTCTAGAGAGGGCGAAAAGTGCCCCCCCCCGCCACGCCCATGTCAAGTTTAGCGAAGGGGTAAAAATCCCGATATATCACGTGATGCTGCCATGATGACATGAGTTTAACACCCCTGCTCTAGTGATGCTGACCTGCTCTGTTCTGACTCTCTTTAGGTGCATCCGTGAAACCAGCAACTCCTTTGCATTGAATTCAGGTAAAACGATGGCAAACCTCTGAAACACATGTCAAAGGTGACACGTCACAACATTTTGGGTGTATTGCCAGCATTCTGCCAGCATTCACCAACATCTGACACAAGTATTCTCCAAAGCATGCCTTGTCCTCATGTGATTTTTGGAGCATGCAAAAGACCATGGAAGAGCATTCTTTGAAGCTCATGCAACCTCAGGTAAGGCCTGCCAGGACCTGTCAACAGAAAGAAAATATTGCTTGAAGATAAGTTGGGTGTGGCAGAGTCTAGGAAGCACTGGGCTAAGGGTGCAATCACTCCATTTTCCAAGGCTTGTATGCCTTGGGGAATAGCCTGAGTCAGTAGTAGTAGTAGTAGTAGTAGTAGTAGTAGTAGTAGTAGTAGTAGTAGTAGTAGTAGTAGTNATTTAATAATACAATACGATGTTGGCTATGTAATAGTATACACGTGGTTGTATGTTATGAAAATGAAAAAATAAAAAAAACTTTATATATACTGTATATATATAAAAAAAGGTTTTCCAGCGTGGCCACGAAGATGCAAATGTGTCTAACCAAATTCTCTTGGTTTTGGGCCATCCTAGAAAAAACTCCAGATATCCCTTTGCACAAAAAGCAGAAATTCCACCCCGGAGGAATGCAGCGGGACTGAACTTCCTTCGCAAATCTTTTAAACAAGGAGCTTTCCTCACCCCCCACCCGTCAAATTTAGCTGGCACCAACATCCCCCGCAGATGGAAAATTTGTCCCCAAAACAGGAAAAAGAAAAATTATTTCCCAGGCCCAGCTGTGCCCCCTAGAGACTCACCTGCCAAAGTCAGGAGGGTGTTGTTAATACAGTAGACCCAAGAGCATCGGTGGGGAAGGAGCTGATGAGAGAAACAAAGGGGAAGAAGAGAAGAAACGGAGAGAAACAGAGGAAGAGAGAGAAAGGGCCCATCAATCTTGGTTAAACTCCGCCCAGGGCCCTTTTCTGATGGCATCAAACATGACAGCCATATTGGTATAGTAGTTCAGGCACCAGGCTACAAATTAGGCAATGTTGAGTTCAGTTCTGTCTCGGCCACGAAGGTTGGCTGGCTGAGTCACCAGGAGACTGTGAGTTCTAGTCTTGACTTAGGCATGAAAGCTTATTGGTTGACTTATTGGACCAATCACCAGGAAACTGTGAGTTCTAGTCTTGACTTTAGCATGAAAGATGGCTGAGTGACTTTGGACCAGTCACCAGGAGAAGGTGAGTTCTTGTCCTGCCTTAGGGACGAAAGATGGCTGGGTGACTTTGGACCAATCATCAGGAAACTGTGAGTTCTAGTCTTGACTTAGGGACGAAAGATGGCTGGGTGACTTTATTTATTTATTTAATTAATTAAATTAAATTAATTAATTAACTTGTATGCCGCCCACTCTCGGAAGACTCAGGACGGCTTACAAATAAAAAGGGAAGGGGGGGATATAAAAAATAAAAGACAACAATTTAAAAATTCAACAACATTCATAACTTAGGATGGGGCTGGACAAATTCAACAGCCCCAGGCCTGCCGGAACAGCCAGGTCTTGGTCGCTTTGCGGAAGGCCGGAAGGGTAGTAAGGGTCCGGATCTCAACGGGGAGATCGTTCCATAGGGCCGGAGCAGCTACAGAGAAGGCCCTCCCCCGGATAGATAGATAGATGATGATAGATAGATAGATAGATAGATAGATAGATAGATAGATAGATAGATAGATAGATAG